CTGAAAGATTTAGCTTAGTTGTGGTGATGTTGAAGTTATACAACCTTTGTGTTTGTTTATAGTCTACCTTTAGCTTTTTACTTCTAGTGATTGTTTTTAGGCTTCGGAATTCATAAACATTGTGTTCTTTTATGAAGATTATCTTGATAAACAAAACATGTGCATTGTTGGCCACAGAGCTTATTTACTGCAATAAAGCCAATTTAAAAAATCGTACTTTATTTTTGTCAAGGAAACCAGGGTGATGAGAACTTACAAAAATACATCATCCCTGGAGCACTCTGTTGCATTTCTCATAGTTTCCACAAGGTGGAATCTCTAAAGTCCACAGTCGCATTTAGAACAACCAGATAGAATATGCACTGATTCTTCAGGGGGATTTAAATATGAGATGATTTGAGAACTACACTGCAAAAATGATTTCCTTCCTCAGTATTTTTGTCTTATTTTCCCAGTACAAATATCTAAATATTCAAATTTCTATACCCTAATTTAGCTTTCTAGTGAAACAGTCATTCGATACTATGAATATTGCTGGCTCTGTGACAAATTGCTTATGTTCCACTGTTTTAAATCACTTTGCATAAAAGTATCTGCTAAATGCATAGATGTAAACATTTTTTCTAGAACAACAACAACAACAAAATCATTATGAGAATTTATACTTAAAACGAGACCAACATCTTTAAATATATGAAGATAAAAATATCTGGGGTAAGCATAAACTTAATACAAAAGGGGAAAAAGATTTTCTTACCCATTGACAGATTTTTCTTGTTTTAAAACTCACTTAATTTTTATATTCTTTTCAGAAGTGACTTAAGTATTTGTCTTTTTCAAGTAAATGTGTGTTTATTCAGGAATTTTTTGATATTTCCAATAGAAAAGGACAAAAATACTAATATATATATATTTATTTATATATATATATTTATTTATTTATTTTTATTTTTTATTTTTTTTTTGCAGTCTACACTCAAATGTTGCATATTTGTAGCCAAATTAGTGATTTTGAAGAAATATGATCTGGCCTGAAACAAACTGATGGGACGTCATCACATGCAGTCAGTCTGTCATAAAGATTGTGTCAAACATCTCAGCATAGAAGTTGGCGTGAAGATGATGATACCCCTCAGTGGCTTCTTCGACGAGTTCTTTTGATCTTGTAGTTTTATAAATGACTTTTGTCACACGCAGCAGTGGTGCGCTTTGGCTCGTCAGATGAGGGTTGACGCACCAACACTTCTTATTAGCATATAACGCAGCGTCCTGTGCTCTCCACACCTGTGTCGCGATCATTCACCTGTTAATCACAGCTCTGCTCAGTGTTGCTTGTGTTAGGATGATGAGTGAGGGGTGTTTTGGCGCCTTGTCATGTCTGCTTTCACCACACCTTGTTACTCGTACTTCAAAAAACTCCTCTGCCACAGGAGTCACTTGGGTGAGATAAACGTGTTTTTCTGTTCTGTCAGGGAGAGAAGAGATGGAATTAATCAGACAAACATATAATTACATATAATTAGTCCTTATGTACTTACTTTGCTGATCGTGCCAGCGTAACACGTTTATTAGCATGTTTTTGGACATTTAGGACCTAAAGTTCCAAGAAGGGTCTGGCTGCAGCCTCGCACTTGCACTCTCAGACGTGCATTCTCAGACTTGCACTCTCAGAC